ATCCATGTTTTGTTTTAATACTTAAAAGGCCAGTAAATTTTGTTTTGACGCATCTAACCACATATTTTGGGTCTCAGATTAAGAAAGAGTTAACAAAAGTTTAGCCACCGAGCGAACCTGCTAGTTGTTGCAAGGCGCTTTCGCTCACTATATGCAGGAGCTCTACCTCTGAGCTGCCGGGGCATCGACTAATGCCTTCTCTTTTTCCTTTTTAGATCGTTTAACCCCCGCCTAAACGTTTTAAATGTACGGTACTGTCCTTACAATTATTTCTTTTTTTAGATAAACATTTTGAGAATTAAATTAGGAGCGGGTTATAAAGTTCTCAACTAAAAGATTTTTATAATTAAGACTAGAGATCGGAATTTTGTACCGTAAAGTATTCCGTACAGTAATACCGATACGGGTACTGTACTGTCCGATCTCTACTTAAGACTAGGGTTGGATCGAACGGTAGAAATTTTTTGATATTTAACAAACAAAACTGAAAATATTTTAAAATGATTGACTTAAAAAAATTCAAAACTGCTATTTAACTAATACTCAAACTCGAAAACAGGTTTTTTAAATTTGAATTAACCGAGACCGTGGGTACCGGTTAATAATTGGTTGTGTCCAACCCTAATTGAACTACAAATCTATAATAGCTTTTATCTTATAAAAAATATATCAAGTATTTACTTCAAGGCCCTTGGTAATAATAAAACGACACAGGTCGCAAGGCAATTTCTTTTGCTGAATTAGAGACGTGTAGGTAATGGCACTGAAATTACCGTATTTACTCGATTAATTCCCCCGAGGAATTATTTTTTCAACCCATGCGTGGCATGGGGAATTATTAGGGGTGGGGAATTATTCGAGTTTTGAAATTTGAACGTGTATTAGGGTATTTGGGGTGGGGAATTATTTTTTCAATTCACCCCTGGCATGGGGAATAAATAGGAGGTGGGGAATTATTCGAGAGTGGGGAATTAATCGAGTAAATACGGTAGATAAGATTACTAATAATTATTATTTTTTATAAGTTTGGTATTTTAGTACTTGGGTAGTTTAGCAATCCAAAGTTTACCCACTAAGCTCAAAATTTTTTTCGAACAAACAATTCGAAAGAGATCAGCGAGCTGAAATTATTTACCGTAAATATCCTAAAAGAAGCCAATCCCTAGTAGAAGCCCATGCCCTATTAGAAGCCCATCTGTCCTTTGAATGCCTAAATATTCTTCTATTATTGTTATAGTCGCCTGAAAGTATTGATAACGAGATACCAATGGCTTGAAATGAATAAAGATTTGGATGTAATATCGGGAGATATGAAAGGAATAAGTAGGATTAAGTATGATTCATTTCGAGGAATATGAGGTATTAAGTGGATTAAAAGGGATTCAGAAGCTTAAGAAGTTCTACCGAATTGGGAGTAAGAGTTTGATATCGTTTGATAACAAGGAATTAGTTGTGTAGAATCCCTAAGAGATTTTGTAGAATCCCTAAGAGGGATTCTATCCCTAAGATTTTGTAGAATCCCTAAGAGGGATTTTTATTAATATTGATGGATTTGTGTTGGTATTAAGTGAATGAGAGTGATTGCGTTGGATATGGTGTCATTGTTTGATATCAAGGGGGACATCGAAAAATATAGAAGCAGATCCAGTCGACCTCATCTGTTTCATATACCTCGGTTTAGTCAAATAATGTGGGATTATACGAGACTTAGGGTTTTAATAAGGTTATCAATTGATTATAATTTAAATTGTGTCGATGGATAGCAAGGTAGGAGGGAATAAAAATATTAGAGGGTTATTTCAGACCGATCATATAGGAATATTATCAGGGCCTATATTAGGATATTTACGGTATTTATTTGTTTACACAAAAAACTGGCTAATTTTTTTTCCGTTTCTACGGGGAATTCCCTTCCCCTGGAACTCGATCGAACTACCAAAAAGTCCCAACCCGAAAATACTTTCTAAAAATGAATATTTAATTAGTTTGTGAAGTGTTTTTTAATAACTTACTCTTGACTAGTTCTGCAAGAATAGGTTACAAAATTGCATAAGAGCTGCTCATCTAATAACAATTGAGTTGTATATATTACATTATTTAAAATTCTGTCTACAAAAAAACTACAAAGCTCATCTGAATTTCCATATTTTTTGCAAAAATATTTGTAAACAAAAGTCAGGGAATTTACCATTTGTAGACTCTAAAATGTTGAGATCGTTAAAATTTTTAAAAAAATTTTAGATTGTTAATAAATAAATAGTAAATAATAACAAACTAACAATAAGATTTTTACTAATTAATAATATAGTCTAAACTTGTTCTAAACAATTTTAACAATTTCCTTTGTTGTTGTGTTTACTCAAACGGCTAAGGTACATAACGGTAAATGGTACTGTTTGTTTATCTACACACATGTCCGCAAATGGATCTTTATATCTTCATTCTCCTTCATTCTTTCATCTCTCGTAATTATTACTAGAGTTGGTCACGGTACCGTATTACCGCGGTATTTTTACCGAAATACCGATACCGAATACGGTACCGCACAGTTTTTAAAAAATCGGTATTTTTTCGGTATCGGTATTTTACCGAAAATACCGATACCGAAAAATCGCATTTGCCTAACACTAATTATTACACATGAGAAAACGTAAAAGACCTTCTAACATTTATAGTTGGGTACTTTGTTCATATCCTGCCCTTCCCCCACCCCTATCTGAGTCTCAGATTAATTTTCCTTTTTTAACTTGCTAAGATTTTCAAACCTTACTAAAATTAATATTAAACGATTCCTCTCATCGATCTCAAGAGATTGATACCAAAAAGAGATTGATTTAATAAGCTATAACTTATTAAAAAATTTTAATATATTACACTATATGTAGCGTTCGCTAAAAACAAGCATTCATTGCAGACATCACTATTATTAAAATTATTAACATCTATATCTGCTCTATTTTTTGTCATAAAATTCTTATCATTAATTAAGTTTGAAATATATTTTGAGTTGAAAAATGAAGCCGATAATGGTAAGTGTCTTAAAATAATTTTTGATTAGATTTATTTGTATTTAAGTGTCTATATTTATTTTAATGCTGTCGAATTAGGGTTCTTTATGGATATACCACCCCCCCCCCTATTTTGAGTCTTAAAGTTTTCCTTAATATGCATTAATGGTCAGCCTTTATTCCTTCCACAATTTATATCCATTTCCCTATAGCTGAGGAGACGACCTTAATTATAGTTAATTATAGGCAGCATTGCAAAAAAATAATCTTTTCTTTACTAATGCCTCTTAATTAAATACGCCACAGGGAAATTGAGGGAAATTGTGGGAGGAATAATGGCTGACCATTAATGCATATTAAAGAAAACTCTGAGACTCAAAATAGGGGGGGTGATATATCCATAAAGTACCCGAATTAGAATAACTATATTGATATTGACTCTATTATAAAAAATACAAAGTCTGTAAATGATTTTTTATCTATATCTAAAATGTCGAAAATCAAATTTTGTGGGCTTTGAGATGGCTACAATAAAAATTCTTTTGAAAACATATTTTAAGTACTGTATCCCACATTTCCCGTTGATTTTCGAGATTCTGGATATCGATAAAAAACTTGACTTTCTTTTTATTGATTTGGCCGTTCATTATGTTAGCCCGACACGGAACTCGAGAGGGGAGAGAGAGATATTTTTTTCGATTTATAAACTTTTTAAACTAAAATTTAATAAAATTATCCGATTAAAGAGTTTTCCTTATCACCCAAAATTCTCAAACTGCCAAATCAATGAATTTGACTTGAATATAGGAAATTTCAAAAATTTCCGCCTTTGGCGCTAAAATAAAGCATGCTTGGTTTCATGAGGTTTACCAAAACCTATTTACTTTTATTATTATTAATGCTAGCAGATTTCTTTAAAAATTTTTGACTAAACTAAACTGACCGCTCATTCAAATTTTTATAATATGACAAATTTCCAAACATTTCCATATCAAAATTAAAAATATTTTCAATTTCTTCATTAATAATTAATTTATAATCTTCAACCTTTCCAAAATTATCCTTCTTGATTAATGCTAAATTAAAAACAAAATACTTGGCCGCGCTCCTACTTAGGCCGTACCCATTTAAAATACCTATTTTTAATTTTATTTGGCCAGAATGGGTGCTGTGAGATTAACTTTTATAGATACAATTCGCTCATGTTAAAAATACACAATTGTGCCGAATGTGGCAATTTGTATCTCAAGACCCCTAGACTCAAACACTTAAAATATTTAAAGAAGAAAAATTTATTTAAATTAATTAAATTCCAAATATAAAAAAGGGGAGAAAAATATATGGGGAGAAAAACAAAGGCTAGGCTGGTAGGAACGGCTGGTAATTAAGAATGAAGTTCAAAAACTGGCTTTTCTCTTAAAAGCAAAATAGTTAAATAGAGAAGTGATTGGGCGGTACAAAGCAAAGTTAGGTGAAATGAGAGATAAATGGAATGGGCGGAATCGATAAATAAAATTAAAAATAATAAATAAAATTAATTAAATTTTGAGGCAAAATTGTGCCTGTTCGGCACATTCCCCTCGGCGAGAAAAGAGGAAGAGGGAAGAAAAATGAATGTCCAAAATAATCACAAAATGGTTTATTAATCATCGGCTCTTCTAATTGTCTTCTTCCTCTCATTGGTTGCCATCGTTGAGTTCGATTCCATCACGCATTCCGAAGGAAACTGGTTGAACATGAGGGGTTTTTTCTATATCCACTGCGGATGCAGAAACAAGGTGTGGCCTTAGAGATGCTCTGATCATTGCTGTAAGGCCAAGGTCGCTTTCGACCATAATGGGTTGGTTTGTAGCTAGGGTGTACTGGGGCACGGTCTTGTAACTGGTTGAATGGGGAAGCGGCTGGCATTGCGGAGGCTTCGGACCTGGGGGTGAAGGTTCTTCACTTTTAATTTCTGTGGGATTCGCTTCGGCTCTACGCCGTGTAGGTCTTTCATATTCGTTTCGGTGCTTTCTCTGAAGCGTTAATTCAACATTTAATTCTGGTTTTTTCTCTAATTTCTCTTCTATATTTCCCCCCAAAGCATTATCCTTACCGGTTTCCCAACCAATATGTTGTTGTGATGATTGTTCCATTACTTGATGTTCACTTTTCTGGTTGTCTACATTGTTGGGCGCATGTAGAGGATTTAAAATAAAATAAAATAGTGGTTGCTGTTGTTCTAGTCTTTTATCATTTTCCACAATTTTCTCACTTTTTGATGTATTTTCTATTGCTTGCTCTTCATAAGAGTCGAGAACACTTTCGCTAGTTGATGATACAATAGCGCTGCCAGAATCCAACCATTTATTCATAAGATCAAAATTCTCAATTATTTCTGAGCTGCCCAACTTTCTAAAATATGCTAGTTGTATTGAAGTAAAAGCTGTTGTTGGGTAAGGAAACACGGAGGACAACTGCGATGAGTTAGGAAACAAACAAAGAGTCGGCTCTATAGCCACAACTGAGAATGGTTGAATGCTCCGAGCTACTAATCTCGGTGGAAGGCTTCGCTGAGCTAATAAAATAAAAGGTACTTGAGCTAATAGTGCTGAAATAGATGGAGGGAAATTGCTAATAATAGGTCCGTCCTTTGGCACAATTCCACCGCCTAGCTCATTGAGTGTTTTTGTCTCTGCTTTAATAAAGGGAGTGCTTATTCGCCCAAACTGTTGGCGCTCTTTCTTTTGTAACTCAAATATTTTCTTAGGGCTCTTGCCCAATCTTTTCCCATAACTTTGGAAGAGCACTAAACTCTGCTCTGACTTAAGTGATAAATTATCGCCCTCTGGCGGACTATCACCAATTACTTTGTTTAAACAAATTTTTTGAAAAATTCTGGTGGGGTCTGGTGAAACTTTGTGGTTTGGGTCTCTGACCCCTTCCCCACTTCGCAAAAAATTAAATAAAATGTTGTAAATAAAAAATGCTAGTGTGCTTTTAAAACTGATAATTATGGTAATTATACTGATTATGTAAATAAAAATACTGGGTAAGAAAATTTTGTTTATTAAAGTCTGATTTATGGATTTAAATTCATTAAAGGGTATATTAAGTGGAATTTTCTTCCTCTTGATGGTCTGCTCTTCTCGGCAGACTACTATTTGGTCCTTGTGGTCACAGCTAACGTTTATTATAAATGACAGAGAAATTAAAATGAGTGTAATTCCATATCCGGCTAGGTTTTCCTGGGGCATTTCTTTTAACTTTTCTAATCTTTTCTTGACTCCATGAGCTCTCTCATCTAATATTTGTTTAGGAAATAACTTTTCTGATAATACTGTATGTGAAACTTTAGTTTTCTCTATTAAAGGAATATTGAAAGGGTCTTTCACCCCCTGGAACTTAGTAAATTTTCGGTCGGTTTGGTGCAACCCGACCATTAAAAATGCTGATTTTAAGTCGGTGGTTGCCATGAATTTGGACAATTGGTAACACAGTATAAGTCCTACAAACTCTGGTAGGAGTACTGGTTCCTCTACAGGACAATCACTGAGAGATGGTTGACTCTCGGGTTGGACAATCACATCCAAGGCTTGTCGCTCGATATGCGCACTAACCACACTGTGGGTCAATTGCTCCTGGGCGGCTGGTTTATTAAGTTCGAGTCTGGTAATTCTATTATCTTTCTCTATCTGGAACTTGTGATAAGGCAAATCTACTTGTTCGGTTATTATATTATCTTTCTCTATTTGGAACTTGTGGTAAGGCAAATCTGATGAAAGATTCAAACTTTCACAGCTAGGAGAATCACTATTATCTTTGAGGCGGGTAATCTGATCGCCAACTGCTGACGTGTTCTCTTTAACTCTATTATTTCCTTGTATTTGCTTCTCATCTTTCTCTTTAACTTTGTTACTCATTAGTAGCTTCTCTGCTTGAGGGCAAATATCTGGCTCTGTGCCCAACTCTGGTTTAACTATTTCCTTGTTAATAGTGAATAATGTCATTATCTCGGGTCTAACTGGTAACGGCTCGGTAAATTTCACAACTTTTGGAACTGGAACACGTTCCTGAACTACAACCTTCTGATCTGGTTGAATATTGGTCTGAACAGGAGGGATCTCTTGAACTTGCTGTACTTGGTGTCGTACTGTTAACACTTTATTTGTATTAATAAGTGGACTCTGATTCTGGCCTAAAGCCATCTGGGTGACTTGCTTTTCGGGATAATAACTATCTTCCTCTGGGGCTAGAAAATCCTGATTATTTTCAAAAGTTCTCGTGCATACTAACACGTGATGGTTCCCTTGACATTGGGCACAAATCTTAAATGAAGGACAGTCTCTGGCACAATGTCCTTCTCCCAGACAACGGAAACAACGTTTCTGTTCTTTCAATCTCTGAAAACACGCCTGAGGTGTTGAATAACTAGGGCATTCACTAGGGAAATGGACTCCTCCGTTGCACAGTGAACAAAGTCTTTTGTCTCGAGGGGGCAACTGTCTACTCTGAATTGGTCTTGACTGGGCACAAAATGGACGGACATGTTCTATATGTTCTGGAAGGGGACGTTGATTATTCCTCTGATGGACGGGAGAGACGATGGAAACTCCTTGAGGCCTTAATTTAAGTTGTGAGAATCTCCTAACCTCCTCGCTAATTTCAACTAGGTTACATAATTCTTGTCTAAGTCTGGCACTGTCCCATCTGACATGGGAATTTCGCTCTTTCTTAATCAGCTTTGAAATTATGGAATTGGGTAGCTTGGTCTTGATAACTGTTGAAACAAAAGGGGACTTGTCCATAGTTCCATATGCCTCTAGCTGGCGGCATATTCTTTCCACCGAATCAACGAATGCCCTTAAGGAGTGGCTGGATTCGTTGGGTGGAGTAAGGTTCATAAGCTCTGCCTCTAAGGCCTCTGTAATGGCCCGGCTGTATCCATAACGTGATTTGAGCAAATCTAAGGCTCGGTCATAATTCTCGTTGGAAAGGACAAATCCATCTACTAATTCTTTAGCTGAACCTTGAAGAAAGGCGAAAAGGTAACTCATTTTACTGATATTATCCATGTGACGTGAATCTATATTCGCTGAGAAAAGCTGCCAAAAGGTGGTCCACTTTTTGGGATCTCCATAGAAGGGATCCATTTTGAGTTCTGGAAGTCTGGTTTCTATAGGATAGGATGGGAACTGGGTCTCTTGTTTGATATTCTGCGGGATCTGCCGCACGGTTTTATTCGTGACTTGTGATAACTGTTCTGATACTTCGGATACTCCTGCCTGACTGGATTGGCCTGAGGGTACCAATTGCTCTTCTATGAGAAAATCGAGATCGCCCAAAACTCCTTTGGCTCTCTCTACTAATTCCATGAAATGATTATAGTCTGGGTCTCCCTCTGCTTGGGGAGCGAATCTCTTGTAAGCTTGTTCCTCCTGGGCAAGATCATTTCCCTCAAGGCTATCGAGGAAATGAGCCCATTTACCGTGTAAAGAATCGACTCGATCTAGAGTACGATTTAACTGAAAACGCGCTGCGCGTAACTGATCTAAGCTCTGATTATTCTGATTAGTGGTTAACAACCGAGTAGCGGACACTAATTGATCCTTTAATGTTTTGAGGGCTGGTCCTAGCTGAGACCGGATGAGCCTTGAAGATGGCATAATGATTTAAGTAACTTGTGAACTTGATTGCTGATATGAGATAAAGACTGAACTGGTGGGGACTCTAACCGGCACACCAGTCGAATAAAAGGGATTCGGTTCTACTCAACCGATAAATTAAACTTCGGCTATCTGAGCCGTGAAGAATGGACTTTAAATTGTTTCGGCCTTTGCCGTGTAGAAAAAATTTTTAAAAATTAAATTTATAAAAAATTTATTTATTTTTCCAATAAAAAATGCAAAAAGAGATGACACACCAGATGTGTGTTTATTCGGCTATCTGAGCCGTGAAGAAAATTTTATTTTTGTAAAAACCCCTGCTGTTGGGTTTTTCTCCTTTTCTAACTTTTTAGAAAAAAATTCGCTCTTTAGCGATGAAAAAAAAATTTTATTTTTATAAATGTAAACAACCGAAGATAATCTTTTGTTTTTACACCAGAAGTGTGTAAAATATACAAAAGAAAGGAAAAAACGGCCTAACTTGCCGATATAAATTTTTGAAAAGGAATGCACAAAAATGTGCAAAAATGTTTATTTTGTGTTGGCCTTTACTATGGCCAAAGAACACAAAAAACTATTTTTAAGAAAAAAAGAAAAAATGGCGCAACTCGCCAGATGTGCAAAAAACTGTAAGGAATGTAAAAAGGCACAGGCTCTCTGATTGGCCGGCCAAAAGGACTGTTTGAGTCTGAAAAGGGTCACTTGAGTATGAGGTGTCCAAAGGGTACTTGGGACCGGCAATTGGACTGTAGACTGATTTTATTGAACGATGGGCACTTTGGGGCCGGCAATCGTTTATCCGACGGGCACTTGGGGCCGGCACTCGGAAATTTGCTAATTAGGTAACGATGGGCACTTTGGGGCCGGCAATCGTTAAAGGTAACTACTGAAATTAACTGATGGCACTATTGCCAAAAATACTATTTAGGTACTCAAAGATTCGGCTCTTTGCCGGGAAGATTATCAGTGGGTCGTTCCCACTCGATAAGAAAAACTTTTAAAGAACGGTGGGCACTATGGGGCCTGCTACACGTTCTGGAAGCTAGGGATCCACCGATCGGCTCTAGCCGTGATGACTGATGAAACGGGTATTCACTGACCCGTACGGGGCTCCAATTTTTATGTGCCGAATGTGGCAATTTGTATCTCAAGACCCCTAGACTCAAACACTTAAAATATTTAAAGAAGAAAAATTTATTTAAATTAATTAAATTCCAAATATAAAAAAGGGGAGAAAAATATATGGGGAGAAAAACAAAGGCTAGGCTGGTAGGAACGGCTGGTAATTAAGAATGAAGTTCAAAAACTGGCTTTTCTCTTAAAAGCAAAATAGTTAAATAGAGAAGTGATTGGGCGGTACAAAGCAAAGTTAGGTGAAATGAGAGATAAATGGAATGGGCGGAATCGATAAATAAAATTAAAAATAATAAATAAAATTAATTAAATTTTGAGGCAAAATTGTGCCTGTTCGGCACAACAATATTACTTCTATAATGAGATTTAAAGACAGAGTGACAAGGAAGATATAACAGGCTACTGTATTTATGAAATACAGTCCCTCTCAACACAAAATTCTAAACCTTAAAATCCCACTCCCGAAGAGCTAAAAGTCTGATAACTATTACCACAATTTAATAATATGTACCAAAATTTAATGAATTATTCATTAAATATTTAGAAAAATTACGTTTAATATGTCCTTTTATAACAGTAAGTAAGGCGATAAAAGTAATTTTGGTTATCAATTTCATAATTTTTTAATATTTTGAAGAAATTTAAATTATTTTAGAATTTAAATTAATTTTTTAATTAATTAAATTGAATTAATTTAAGATTAAATAAAGCTTGAAGAATTTAAATTTTAAATTAGCCACAACAGAAAGAACCTTCTTAAAATAATATTATTAAACTGAAATTAATTTTATTTATCGGTATAATGAAAGTTAAAAATAGATAAATAAAGATATACCGTATTTTTTCGATTAATTCCGCTGGGGAATTAATATTTCGACCCATATGTGGGATAGGGAATTATTCGAGGGAGGGGAATTATTCGAGGAATTATTCGAGTTTTGAGATTTGAACGTGCAGTAGGGTATTTGGGGGTAGGGGATTAGTGTTTCAACTCATCCGTTGCAGGGGGAATTATTCGAGGGAGGGGAATTATTCGAGGGAGGGAATTAATCGAGAAAATACGGTAGTAGTGAATTGATAAAGATTATAAATAGGGAGTGGCAAAACATGCAAATGCATATTTTGCATGCGGATATGCCATGAGCTGAAACGCTCAAAAATGGTGTTTTTAGGTCGGTACGAACATTAGGGACCGAGTTCCTATAGCATATTTTTGCATATTTCGGTACTTTCGTGCATATTTGCATATCGAGGCATATTTTGGGAAATTTTGCATATTTTTATTTAAATTTGTGCATATTTTGGCATTTTTTTGAAAAATTTTAGTAAAAATCGGGCAAAATTTTCAAAATTTTGGAAAAAAATTTTGAAAATTTTCAAAATTTTAAAATTTTTTGTGCAAAAAATTTTTTGATAAAAATTTGTCGAAAAAATTTTTTCGAAAAATTTTTCGGGAATAATTTCTTTCAAAAAAATTTTTTTAATTGAGTTTTAAATCAATAAAATCTTTTAGAAGTGCCCTTAAACTGCAATTTAAATGGTAAATTAGTATTAATTTACTTGAAGTATTGATTTTTAAACCACATTTTTATTATTTTTGTTGCATATTTGTGCATATTTCGGCAAATTTGGCATATTTTGGTGCATATTTTAGGCTTTTTCGGTGCATATATATGCGCATATTTTGGGATTTTTCGTGCATATTTTGCCACTCCCTAATTATAAAATATAAGATTGAGGAATTTTTAAATAGGTAGAAAAAATGGAAAAAATCAGAATTATAATTAAAAATTAAAAAAAAAACCTATTTTCCACAAAATAATAAATTCTTCTCCGTATATATTTTTAAAATATATATACCTATTTTTAATTCAAGAAATTTTTAAATGAATAATTTTTATTAAAAATGTTTTAACAGCAAAATAGGCTTAAATGAATCAAAAATTACCAATCGAGAAATAGGCAAAGGTTAATTACGAGAATAGGCAAATGTTAATTACGAAAATAGGCTAATGTTAATTACTCATAAAAAATGTAAAGAGACATTTTTTATTAAAAAAATATTTTTGGTTATCTATATTATCTATATATTATATTTATTAGGCCTATATGATCTTTATCTCATTCAGTCTAATATTAAATTGTTTTTATATTTTTTATATTAATATGACCTCATAGGTAAATAAATTTGTAAATTTAAAGAATTGATGACTTGAAAATTTTTAGTTTCGTATTTTTATAAAATTTTAATGATTTTTTTCGTTTTGTTTAAAAATTTATTTATAAAAATTCCAATGAATTTTTCCACAGCATGAAAACATAGTCTACAATAGAGCCTAATTCGAAACAACTATAAATCAAGTAGAAATAAAATAAGCGATACTGAAATTAACTCGAAAAATAACAGAAAACGGTATTAAAAATCTGAAAAAAATTTAGAGAGTTAACAACTCTCTTTCAAAAATAATTTTCTACTCACGTTTGGAGTGAAGACTATTTGGCATATATTACTTATTTGTATGTAAAAATATTAAAATGCATATGTTGCATTAAATAATCTTTTTTCTTCTGTGTTTGATTTTTATTATTCTGAGAACTAAACATGAATTCTGACCTTTCTCATTTTATACAAAAATTTTAAAAAATTTTTAATTATAATCTAACACTAGAGCAAATTTGTTGACATTCTTGCATATTTAAAAAATTATTTAAATTTCCTCCACATCCCGAATATTCAAAAGAAATGCATTGACCCTTTAAATTTAATTTTAAACATTTTCTTTAATATTTTTAAACCTTTTCTCTACTGAAGGCATATCTGGTCTGTCTGCTACTACACGAACCTTTGTCTATTGATAGAAGGCAAAGTGCAGCTTTAAAAAATTTATAAAATTACTTAATATTTATCTTATTATTAGAAATTGGATATTTATCAGCCATAATTTATGCTACATATCGAGAAGCCTGAATAATAGCAAAATGATGAATAGGAAGTCGACGTATAATACGATTTTACAAAAGTGTTAATGATAGGTATCCCGCCAAATTTCGCGATATTCGTTTTAATGCCGAGACATAACACTTTCAATTTGTCAGATTAATATGTATGTGTCTTTAGAGTATATGTACAAAGTGGATGTTTTTATAAAAATTCGTTAATCCTGCTACGTGAGATTACAGTAGAATTTTGGAAGTAAAATCTTGCTTAGAGTCCTAGTAGCAGAATTCTCACGTAAATTCTTACCAGGGCAAATATTTTGGCACTCTTCAGCTGTCAAAAAATTGTTTTGATTGCCTCTTTTCCCATTGTATTGAAACGAGATACATTGACGTTCATCGGCATTATAGTACCTTAATTATTTTATTTTTAAGGTAGAGGAAGATTCAGAATAGCAGTAATTGCACGTATTTACTCATGACAGAAAAATCTAAGCAAAGGTCATAAAGTAACCTAAATAAATACAGAAATTAGGAGGTTTACGTGAACCCCCCTTCAAAAATATAAACTATCATTGCGCCGATACAGTGGTACTTAATTCTCTAAAACTTATTAAGATGTAAAAACTATAAATTTCATATCTTGTAAAAATTTTTTGCCAGTAATATTAAACTTTTATACTCTACCTCTAGTAGCGTAGAAGGCCCTATTCTTCATTGACTATTCTTAATTTTTATGCTCTAATTGAACCACATTCCCTATTTGAAGCACACTCCCTAATATAAGCACACCCCTAGTGTATTGGCAAAAAAAAAGCAGATCATCATTTTTAGTTATATTTAGTTATATGAAAAGGATTAAGGGAAATATACACAAAACCGATACACAAAACTGATAGACAGAAATCCGATACCCTTAAAATCCGATACCCTCTAAAGATTTTGAGTGATTAAGAGAGATATTGGTGATTTGGCGTATTAGAAGGTATCAGGGGATTTTGTAGATTAAGAGTGAAATTGGGAGATTTGATAGATAAAGTGTGATATCATGGCGGTTTGATGAGATTAAAATAATTGAATGATTTAGATCAGGGCTTGCTTCTTTCAGCACGAAAGGCGAAAGTTTTGAAAATTATCAAAGGAAAAAATTTAGTTATCGAAAAAAATTTTATTAAAATGAGTGAATTCAACTGAAATTTACTTTTTGTTTTGTTTTATGTGAGGTTATTAATGGATTTCCGGGCTCCAAAATTAAATAATATTAATTTATGTGAGGTAAAAATTTTCATTAAAAAATTAAAAAAAAACATCGAAAAATAAAAGCACACTCCCTATTTGAAGCACACTCCCTAATATAAGCACACCCTACGAGGGGATCGAAAAATAGAAGCACATGTGGTTCTATTAGAGCATTTACGGTAATTTAATAAATATGGGCACTGGCTCAATTAGACTTTTGAGATTCAATTAGGCATTTGAGTCTCAGAAAATATTAATCAACAAAAAATTATTTTCTAACCATCTCGCTAGCCCTGCATTTCCTGTGCCAGGTGCTAACGGAACAGAGCAAGGATTTGTGGCTAAAATTGAAATATATTTCGTCAAATTTCAAGAAATATAAATTGCCTCCAGGACAGCAAACAGTAGTTTCTGGAACTGCTCCAAGATGACACCAAAAATTGACCTTAAATATTGCTCAATTTCTTCAAAAATAAATCTAAGTTACAGGGCAAGTATCTCTATTTGTTGCAGAGCAAAAGAAGACTTGTCCACTCTCGCTTTTTGCTGGTTGACCAATACAAGGGTCTGAAAATAAATTTATAAAAAATATTTTTAAGGAATTTACGGAAAAAAAATTTACGGATCTCACTCTCTTTCGCTTATGTAGCTCGACCGACTGTGTCCAAATAACAAAACACAAATCACAATTGTTTGTGAGAAGAAAAACAAAAATTAGAGGGTTAATAACCCCTCTTTCAAAAAAAATCTCGGCGAGCTAATTTGAATGATAATCTAATTGCCCTGGACATAGTGAAACATTAATATCATCCAAAAATAATAAATGATATATGTTGTAAATTATGATAATTAAGAGAAAGTAAACGAAAACAAATTTGATAGAATTTTTATTTCTTTTTATTTTTCTGGTTATATGTTGGTAAATTCTGATTTTTAATCAAAAACAATTTTTTATTCTACCTTTGTTAAATTTTTATTTTATAATTTTTTCGAGCTTAAACTAGTTATTTGTAACCTAAAATCTTATCTAAAATTTATTTTGTAGATAACTTAATTCGCTATCGAATGATACCAAAATCAAATCATAATATTAATTAATTGACGAGTTATGAATTTCTAGGTGACAGATTTTAAAAGCGAACGGCGAAACCTATTAAAGGCGGAATTCGACGAATCTTAAAAAGGCATCCCTCCCTTACATACCACGCATCTACCTCTGCCCTTTTTAAGGTTTAAAAGTAAAACTCACTGTCTAGAGGGAGACAAGCAAGTTGACACGCTCTCTAAATTAAATTTTCTAAGGGTCCTTTAAAAAATTAACTAAACTTACCAAATTCAGAAAATTATTTTGATTTCCTTTAAGCCCCTTGTAGAAAAAACTTTTGCAGGTTTTTGAAGCTGAGTCATAATAGAAACGTTCCAACTGGGCAAAACCCTCTCCTGTAGACATTGGTAATTGACAAGGATTTGGATTTGCTTTAAATTGAATTTTGGATTTTTTTTTAAAAATTTTATGTAAGATAACAAGTTTTTAAAGAAAATGCTTCATAATTTTTAGGAAGGTAAAAATGGCACTTTTTTTAAAAATGGCATTTTTTTATAAAATTTTTCTAAAAATGCAAAATTTTAATAGTTAAATAATAACTACAGCGACGGAAAGGTTAATTATAAGGGGGTTCTGTACGCAAACCCCCCATCCCAAAAATTTATATGAAATTCATTAAAATAATGAAATAAATGTTAACCAAAACAATTTAAATAATTCTAAATTTGTGTTTTATATATTAAGTAAAATTGACCGGAACACTATCCCCCGTTGACGGAACAACTATCCCCGTTGGCGGCACACTATCCCCCGTTGACGGAACAACTTCCCCGTCAACGGGAAGTTTTCCTCTGGGGACGAAAATTCCTAGCGGAAACTAAAATTCCGTTTTTTTCGTCTTGGTGACGAATATTCTGCTGGAGACGGAAGTTCCGGAAAGTCTTGAAGACGAAAGTTCCAGAGACTAAAATTCCGGCACCCGTTTCAGACCTCTAATCAAAATTTAAAAACCATTTATTTACCATCCGGGCAGCAAACAGTGCTAGCAGCATTCGCTCCCACATGGCACCAATAATTGTTTGGGCATGTATTCATGGAGGTACTTACAGCACAGCTTTGAATACGCCCATCAGCCCCAACAAATGGAGTTCCTTTAATAAAAATTATTAGTAAATTTCTCAATTGAGGCTTTGGAAAAATTTTATTGGATCGGGAATAGAATAGAACCATCATGGAAATGGCCCAGAACACAATTAGATTTCTTATTCGACCTGTAAGTATCATACAAATAACATAAAAATTGACTATCCAAAAAATGGCAAGAGATTGGAGTGATAAATTAGAGCTCCCCAAAGAATCCTTAGATTTTCCGTTTTTTAAGTTTTGTTTTTTCTTTCTTCAGAGAGCGCTGCTCTAAAATAATAGCTGTTTACAGGGTGGGGACGACGGAAAAAATCAGAACGGAAATGAACCAAAACAATCAGAACAAAATATAAATTAGAAGGTTAATAAACCCTCTCTCAAAAATACTAAAAACCACATACAAGATTAGCCCTAAATTGTGTAAACGAAGTGAAATTTATTAGAATGTAAAAATATTAAATAACATATGTTGTAAAAAAAGAGCCAAATAATTGGGACTGGGCCGTTTTGGCGCGAGCTTATAAGATAGCGAGTTGTTTATCAAAAATGATAAAATTATGTAATAATAACTCTCGTACCTTTATCTAAGTTCTCCAAAAATTTCAGAAATTTAGAAATTATGGCCAAAAATGCTGGTTTTCTGAAAAATGCCTAATTTTTCGAGGTCTATCGACAATAACTTCAGAAATATCGAATCAAAAATTCTGAAATTTCTGGAGGAGGTAGTCAAGGATGTTAAAGAAATTTAAGAAAATTTTTAAGAATTTAGGTCTCGCCTAAGTGCCACTTTTTTGTTCTCGCGCCAAAACGGCCCGGCGCCAAAACGACCTCAACCCAAATAATTTAGACACACTTATTTTTCGTACCATACTAAGAAATACCTTAAATAAAAAACATTATTTCTTAGTATGTATTCTGTAGCGCATTTCCGCTATGTTCACCGATATATCGAAAAATACCGATGATAGAAAAATACTATGCGTCCGGATCCCTACTAAATTCTTACCAGAAGGGCACGGATTAGGAAGACAAGCCAACTGGCACTCCTCAAGTGTCAAAAAATTATTTTGATTTCCCTTAAGTCCTCTATAAATAAATTGGTGGCATTGTTGTGTTGAGGGTTCATAGCCAAATCGCGGCAATTGAGCTGTTCCTTCTAAAAAATTTTTAAATTTAAAAGCATTTTACTCCACCTCCAGGCTCTATAGGCAATTGACACTTGTCTCCTTGGTCTACAATTAGTTTTATAATAGTATTAAATTTTAATAACCTATAGGACAGCATACAGTAGTTTCTGGTGTACTACCTGCAATATTGATAGAATTAATATTATATAAGATGGTACTGCTGTTTGTCCTATATACTTGACCGTCATACTACTTAATCATACCCTCAATTAACCGTCATGCTTTTACTCAAACATGTAAGCTCTCTATAACGTCATTCCTTCCCACCGCCCTCTCAATTCAATCGACAGTAGGTTCCATTCAAGCGACACGGATTCAATTCAATCGACAATTCCTTTCTTACGTCAGTAAAATTCGAAACGAGGTCTTACGTAATAAATTTCACCTAATTCCAGAGGGATTTTTCTTGTTTTATTTGAATCCCAAAATTAATCTTTCCAATTATATGTATGTAGTAGCAACTTCAAATTACCCAATTTGTTGTTTACATTTTCATTTAATTTTTTTCGGAGACTGACTTATTAATACTGACATAAAAAGTACACACAAAAAAAAATTAACCACAAAAAGCGAACAAAAAACGAATAAAATTACTCATTGTTTGAAAGCATTTTTAGAAAATTATTTCTAATTTAATTAAATTTACCAATGTGACAATAAAGATCACTTCTGCCCTCACAAGCTTCTGGTCCAGGCTGGCAGGGAACTAGTGGGAGCTGTATTGGTTGTCGACAGGGGTTAGGAGGGGCTATAATAGGAAATTTAATATTAAGTAAAATCAGAATTTTTTTCAGAATTTTTAGAGTTCTGATTTTCGAATTTCCGATTTTTCGGAATCCTGAATTTGTCAGGATTCTGATTTTTGATCTTCCGGTTTTCAGATTTTTTTGAAGCGTCAGAATAAATTTCAGAATAATTTTCAGCTTGTTCTAATTTTACCAGAATATTTCGGAATATTTTTCAGAATTACCATAACAAGCATTATTGCATTCCTCCAAACTAACAAAATTATTTTGATTTCCCTTTTGTCCTTTGTAAGTAAATTGACGACAACAGCCAGCAGTAGCATCCCAAAACCATCGGGCTAATTGGTAAAAGCCTTGACCAGGATTACAAGGTTGAAGGCATGGATTTCCTCCTTAAATTTTTTCAGAATATTTAGAAAAATCAGAATTAATTTCAGAATTTTTCTTAATGAATTTCAATCATCTTCTGATTTTATCGGAATTATTTTTCAGAATTTCTGATTTTCAGAAATTTTTGATTCTTCTGATTAAAAAATTTTTTTCAGAACAATTTTCAGAATTTTCTTCCAGAATTTTCAAAGTATTTACCTAATATTTATTTCCCAGTATTTCATAAAAAACTAGTAAGTAAATAATTATCCCGATCAATTTACTTAATATTAAATAATAGAAATTAGTTTCCTAAAAAGGAAAATAATTCAAAAGAGACTATAGACAAGTTAATAAGCAAACAAGTAATAAAAGAATTTTGCTAAAATCCTAACTTTCTTGTTGGGACAAAATCGCTCATGTATGTAACTTTAAAATAAAATTTCTATATGGCTTAAAGTGACAGAGGAAGTAATGTTGTTATTTTTTCAACTATTATTTTTATGCTTATTGATAGAGAATATAAGACTATCAAAAATCGAGATGGGACATTTTCTTCGTAACGAGGTACCCATGGCTTTAAAAATATAAATAGCTATATGAGACTTTCGCTTAAAAATAAAGTCCTCCCGAAAAAAATATAAAAATTATGGTTCTACTTGACTTTATGAGTCCAATCGAAGTTTATGAGTCCAATCGAACTTTATGAGTCCAAATAAAACTTTATGAGTCCAATCAAGATTTATGAGTCCAAACAAAACTTTATGAGTCCAATCAAAATTTATGAGTCCAAACAAATTTTTGTGAGCTACGGGGGTAGGTCGTCAGATCAAAGCTCGTGATGAGAAAAGGGATAGGTTTATGTTGCCGACCCAGAACCCAGCGACCGTTGACTCCCGCGAGGCGCGTGCCGCAAAACCCCGCGCGAAGCGCGGGGTTTTGCACAAGCGTCTCGCCTATACTCCATAGGTCTAACAACATAACCCTATTCATTTTTATTGTATTATTTAATAAAATCTAATAAAATGTGATTGGACTCATAAAGTTTTGTTTGGACTCATAAACTTTGATTGGACTCATAAAGTTTTATTTGGACTCATAAATTTTGGTTGGACTCAGAAAGTTCGATTGGACTCATAAAATTCGATTGGACTCATAAAGTTCGATTGGACTCATAAAGTCAAGTAGAACCAAAATTATTTCAGGACATTAGAAATACATGGCCTCGTTCAATGCTAAAACATTGCCTTGCTCCTAGCATTCCCTCAACTCAAAGAGACTTAAATTGCTTTATTCATCATCTAGGCTATGAACAAATATTTGTAGAAGTTCTCAGCCGCTATCCACCTATACTTCGCTTTCCAGATTTTTTGGGAGAAAATCAGTTAAACAAAATTGAAGAAAAATTGGACAATTCCAGGTGCTTGATTTTAAAGTAAAATTCCTTCAATCCCCTAATCCGAATCGGATAATCATTGTCTTTTGAAAGAGCTCATCGAGTATAGTCGAATGGTGCCAAAATCAGATTAATTCGATGATTCCGTAGTAAATTATTAATAACTGAATTTTAGCTGGAATATCCGTTTTTGTGTAAATACAGAGGCTTGTTGAGTTCTTTCGAATGATAAATTGTCCAAATCCAATTATGTGACGTAATTTTTTCATTTTTAACGCTAAAAATTATTTTTGACCAAAAAATTAAAAACAATTTTAGTAATGTTGAATCTATGGGTGTTGAGGGGCTTGTTTACAGTAGTGGACATAGAGGACGTCAAGCTGAGGGACTATGGCTGAGCCATGAAGAGAAGGAAATTCGTCCATTGTATAGAAAATTGAGGGAGACTTTGGTTTTAAACCCAGCCATGGGCGAGGATTTTTTGGTTTGTTTAATGAAGTTAAATTTCTAAGCTAAAAGAAGACTTCATTTTCACCAGCCATTGTGCAGAAATAGGAACAAATATATATTAGAAGGTTAAAACCCTCTTACAAAAATAGTTAAAATTCTGAATATGCGGCGGGAACACGATATCTAAGTGTGAATTAAACATTTATTAGCTTGCATAAATACAGAATTTTATATGTTGTAGAAAATATAAAACAATTTTAGAGAAAAGACAATTTTAGACAAAGGTACATACACATACATACATACACTCAATTTAAAAAGCAAAATGCGGAACTGGCATACTTCTGGGGCCTATTCCACAAAGCGACATTGACATCAAATTTCGCGACATTTGGCAATCGCTTGACATTCTGATTGCGATTGTGTTCCACATAGCGACATCAAAATTATTTTGTGACATCGGGATATCCGGGGATTGAGAGGGAAATATGGGAATCAAAAGGGATATATGAGGATTTGGGTGGATATCGGGGGATTAAAGGGGATATAGGGTGATTTGAAGGGATATTGGGGATCAGAGCGGATATCGGGTAATCTGAGGCATAATAACTGTATAGGGTAATATCTATGGATTTAGAAGGATATAACATGGGGGGATTAAGCGGGATATATGTGGATTAAGGGGAAATCTTGGAATAGTTATACCTGGGAATTAAACTCTCACCTTAATCACCAATATACTTTCAACCCTAAGATTTGAAAATACTTAATCCCTAAATTCATGTTATCTCAAATCCCCTTAATCCCTGCAAATCCTAGTTATCTTCCTTAATCTATTGATCATTACTAGGGAGTGGCAAAACATGCTAATGCATATTTTGCATGCGGATATGCCATGAGCTGAAACACTCAAAAAGGGTGTTTTTACGTTGGTACGAACACTAGGGACCGGGTTCCTATAGCATATTTTTGCATATTTCAGTACTTTGTGCATATTTGCATAACGATGCATATTTTGGGAAATTTTGCATATTTTTAACTAAAATTTTGGCATTTTTTGAGAAATTTTAGTAAAAATCGGGCAAAATTTTAAAAATTTTGGAATTTTTTGAGCAAAAAATTTTTTGTTAAAAATTTGTTCAAAAAATTTTTTCGAAAAATTTTTCGGGAAAAAATTTCTTCGAAAAAATTTTTTGGTTGAATTTTAAGCTAATAAATCTATTAGAATTGCTCTTAAACTGCAATTTTAGAAGTTAATTGAGTGTTTTTTAATTAAAATATTGAATTTTAAAGCACATTTTTATTATTATTGCTGCATAATTAGTGCATATTTTGGTAAATTTGGCATATTTTGGTGCATATTTTGCCACTCCCTAATCATTACAAATATTGATTCATTAATACTATCTAGTTATTATTATGTTGATTACTCCTATAATAATGAAATTAATAGGTAATTCCAAAATTTTGAAAAAATTTGATATTTGATCAAATATTTGATATTTTTGATCAAATTTTTTTCAAATATTTTCAAATGTCAAATAATTTGATTTGATATTTGATTTTGCCGATTGTCCGATCTCTAGTTTACAATACACTGGCCTGTAATATGAAAGAAAAATTAGAGGTATAAAAAATACCCCTTACAAAAATACATTTCCTACATTACCGCGAAAGATATATGTGGAGTTGTGAAAACAACCTTACTATTATGGAAAATTATGAAATTTTATATTGTGTAAAAATAAAGATAATTTAGAAAGAAGGGAACTATGTTGAACACTAATTTTATAAACTCATTTTTTCTAATAATAATTAACTTGCAAACTGATTAAAGGAAATTTGATATATCCAGCCAGTAAATTATATATATATATAATATCAAGCCAACTCAGATTTAAAAACTCATATCTGCCGGCCGAAGGCCGGCACGGATTTGGGAGTTGTGGAAGGGTCCTACAACATTTTGAGGCGCATTTAGGAAAAATATAACCGCGGCGCCACGACTTTGTCTTTGCGCCGAAAAGACCCCCTAAAGTTTCTAACTTTTGAACCGTAAGTCGGAGCGGAAAACTTCTGCTGGGAGGCGACTGGCCCACGATTAGTAGATAATGTTTAAAAAAAAATTTCGAAATTCGGTAAAGTCTAAATACCGAAGTGCCGTGCTAACCCTTTTTAAATGTTGGCAAAATGTGGTGCCATTGGAGGTTGGCAAAATGTGGAGGTGCGAGATCTCGGGAACGGCTGGGAGGAATTGGATGGGACCTGGGGGGTATTAGGTAAGTGGCTATGAGAAATTTTTTGGGATGGGTCATTTCGGCGCCGGACTTGAGTGCGGCGCCGAAATGGCCGGACGAAAATTTCAACGTGTTATAACGCGTTTTTGAGAACTTGGGGGTCTTTGGGCCTGGGAGTGGTATTGTAGGGTAGAGTGTGGGGAACTTATCGGTAGTTGACCACTAGAGTCTCGTGTGAACTTTTGGGGGTGTTTTGGGTCAAAGTGTCAGAGTCGAAAAGTCGACTTTTTGTAACGTGAATTGAAACTCGATTTCGATAGCCAGATCGAAAGAGCGTCCCCTGGCGGTCAGAAAAAGGTATAATATGTTGGGGGTCCACTTGAGTCTCAAAAAGTTATAGGCGTTGTGGCAAAATGTCCGAAAACTTTATGAGACTCTAACGTCCCGGGGAAATTTTTTAAAATTTTTCTGAGACCGGAAATGGATTCAGTGGGTGTCAGAGCACCATATAGGTCGAATTTTGGGTCAAAATTCGAAAATTTTTCCCCGCCCTCAGAACCAAAGGGGTACCCCTTTTGGGGAAATTTCGGGATTTTTTGGGGGACCTTAACTTTTTTTTGGTGAGTCGGATTGGGATCGGGTTTGCTTTAAAAAATCGAGTAAAAAATTAGGTATTTTTTGAGCCGAAAAAATTTCGAAAAAATTCGAAATTGAACCCGTAGGGGTCGAATTTCGAAAATTCGAAAAATTTTCGGTTTTTCGAAATTTTTTCGGGATTTTTGCCGACGGTTCGGGGTTTAAGTATTTTTCCTGGATAGAGCAGTATTTTCTGCACCCGACAAGCTTTTAAAATTTATAAAAAAGGTCTACTTCGGGGAAGTTATGATTTTTTGAAAATTTGGTCGATTTTTTCGGCCAAAATTTTCGGCCAAAAAAATAATTTTACAAAAATGGGTAGAAATGGGGCAAATTATATATCAAACGAGAGCTCTTATCGAGGGGAATTTAAAAATATTTTTTCCAAAATTTTCTGACCCTTTTGGCCAAAGTTATGATCGGTCAAAAGTTTGAGTCTGGGGTGGTCCCATAACTTGGTCAGACTCAAGTGACCCCGTTAAAATTTTATATTTTTTAGATGGATTTCAGGATGCTCTACAATATAACGTAAGTCTTTTTAATTTATTCCCCCTACTTAGGTACCCCACCAGCTAAATTACCCCACAGACTCAAAAATTATGAAACTTCATAACTTTCCCAGACTCAAGCGTACCCCCAACAAAGTATATATTTTTCGGAGCCCCAGGTGATGCTCTACAATCTTACCGGACGATATTTGATTTATTACCCCTCCTTTGGTACCCCACCGGCAAAAGTACCCCTCCAGACTCAAACATTTAACTGACTATAACTTTTGCCAAAATGGTCAGAAAATTTTTAAAAAAATATTTTTATACTCAGGGCGATAAGGGCTTTCGATTGATATATCATTTGGCCCATCTATACACATTTTTAAAATTTTATTTTTTTAGGCCGAAAATTTCGGCCGGAAAAATCACCCAAATTAAAAAAAAATCATAACTCTTCCAAAGTTAACCTTTTTTGAAAATTTTAAAGGCTTATTCTATGAAGAAAAATGAGCTCTATTCAGGAAAAATACATTCGGTGCGAACCGCCGGCAAAATACCCGAAATTTTTTCGAAAAACCGAAAATTTTTGGGGTTTTCGAAATTTGACCCCCTCGGTCTCAATTTCGAATTTTTTCGAAATTTTTTCGCCTCTAAAAATACTTAATTTTTTGCTTGATTTTATAAAGTAAACCCCATCCGAATAACGTTATCCCGAAAAAAGTTATGGTCCCCTAAAAATTCCCGAATTTTCCCCAAAAGGGGTACCCTATGGAAATAGGGGGTGGGACAAAATTTTGGAATTTTGACCCCAAAAACACCCTATATGGTACTCTGACACCCGTTGAGTACGAATCCGGCGTAAGAATAATTTTAAAAAATTTTCCCGGGACGTTAGAGTCTCATAAATTTTCGCGACATTTGAGAACATCGCCTATAACTTTTTGAGACTCAAGTGGACCCCAACATATTATACCTTTTTCTGACCGCCTGGGGACGCTCTTTCGAATGAGCTATCGAAAACGAATTTCAATTCACTTTTGCAAAAATCGACTCGAGTCGAAGTCACTCAAGGACTCATAACTCCCCAAGACTCAATCCCAGACTCAAGCGTCCCTTAACATAAATGTCCTAAACACCCTCCCCTACAAATAACCCAACACCCCCAAAGTCATTCCCTAGCAAAGAATTTTCAGATATAATCATTTTCCCGCCTCAGACTCAAATATCCCACCCCCAGACTCAATTGACCCCCACCAAACAAACATCATAAAACGCGCATTAATTTACTCTATAATACCCCCCAGGTCCCATCCCGCTACGACCCTCCAAAAAAAAGTTACACTCAAAAAACCATTTGAGTACGGATCGGATATTTTGAGTCTAACGGGTTCTTCGAACTGGCCGTTTCGGTGCCACACTTGAGTGCGGCACCAAAATGGCCTGTACCATTAAACTCCCCATGGTCGCTTACCTACTAGCCCCAGTACTTATCCAAATCGGCCTAGCCGTAACCGAGTTATTCGACGAAATCGATGCGAACACGCCGAAAACCAGCAGCCGCGATATGGTTGCCGACAGCTAAAACTTAGGCAATAATTTATATTCATAAAGGGGACAAAAAAAAATTTTTTTTTTGTTTTCAACTGAAATTATTTTTACGGTGATTTTCGCTGATAGGCGAACTTATTACACCGTATATTAGCCTTACGGCTCTATTTGTGATGTGAATTTTTGAAATTTTGTGTTGACTAAGCGTCCTCGTTGAAGGATGTGAAAACTTGCGTTTCATTATTGAAACGGCAAGATTAGTAATCGGTCGGCTTAACGGTCGGCTTGGTGATCCTGCCAGAACTGGTGTATTCATTTCAAAGTTAAGCCATGCATGTATATTAATCGTTTTAACGAGAAACCGCGAACGGCTCATTACAATGACCATGATTTACTTGATTTTGATTATCTAAATGGATAAATTTTGCTCTTTCAAGTGTTCACTTTATCAACTTGACGGGTGTATAATCGACTCCCGTGGTGGTGACGGATAACGGAGGATAGGGTTCACCTCCGGAGAAGTGGCTTGAAATTGTCTCACCGAGGAGGTAGTGACAAGAAATGAAGTGATCGGTCTCTTTGAGGCCGGTCATCGGATACAAGTTAAAACCTTTAACGAGTATCAAGCAGAGGGCAAGTCTGGTGCCAGCAGCCGCGGTAATTCCAGCTCTGCTAATACATCAGTGTTCCCGGACCGAAAGTCTTCGGTTCCGGGGGAAGTTGGTTCCAAAGCTGAAACTTAAAGAAATTGACGGAAGGGCACCACCAGGAGTGGAGCTTGAGGCTTTATTTGACTTAACACGGGGAAACTCACCCGGACCGGACACTGTGAGGATTGACAGATTGATAGCTTTTTCATGATTCAGTGAATCGTGGTGCTTTAAAGAGCAATAATAATAAAGGGCAAAACAGGTCTGTGATAACCTTAGAGGTCCGGTGCAATATTCTGCCCCTAAAGGGCGGGTGAGCAATTGCTAATTTACCGTGATTGGGATTATAAATTGCAATTATTTTCCGTGAACGAGGAATTCCAAGTAAATGCGAGTTATCATCTCGCATTGAATACGTCCCTGCCCTTTGTACACACCGCCCGTCGCTGCCCGGGACTGAGCCATTTCGAGAAAATTGGTGACCGTTGATTAATTTCTTTATTACATCGATGGAAACCAATGTTATCGCAGTGGCTTGAACCGGACAAAACTCGTAACAATGTAGCTGTAGGTGAACCTACTGCTGGATCATTACTTTATGTGATGTTCAAATTTGAATCGCAACTTATGTTGTGTAACGGCTGTCACTGGTGTCTATGTGTTGCTGATTCAGTCGTTTACGTCCGTGGCTGAATGTGAGGTGACATGTTAGGACTCTTTTGAGTTTAAGACTTAATGAGCCTCTTAAGTGAGGACGCCAGCACTTTTTTTACTTTTATTCGGACCCGAAAGATGGATAACAAGGCGATCAGTGCCCACTGCAGAAGCCTTTCAGATTCTAATCGTAAAGAGGCGGATCCTTTTCAAACAAGAAAAAGCCTCTATTGACAGTTGATCGAGAGAGTTAAGGTAGGACTACAGGGCTGATTGTATGTACAGGATATGATCAGTTGTGATTATTTGTAGCCAGCACCTACAAGTATTCACATTCCTGTTAGTCAATGAATGGTGCCTGTCTGTCAATAGAGAGCTAAGTGAAATAAATGGTGGATGGTGGTGCATGGAGGATTTTTTATTGAGTGAGCTATGGTTCAACGACCATATAACGGTGAACAGCTTGAATATTTGTTATGGAAATATTCAGGTTTGGATACTAGCAATGGCGTCTGCTTTATCCATTGTTCATTGTTTATAATTGAATGCATAAAACACCATAGCTTGCTCTTTAAAATACGATTAGAATTGAATAAAACGGCTTGGGATACCGTTAAAAGTGCTGCATTGATCGCTGTCTGCAGACCAAGACTGGCCTCAAAGTAAACACAGACAAAGCCTGCTTCCTTTCGGTTGGATGTCTGAGAGTCTCGGGCTTCGGCCCTCCAGATTCCATGGTGTTTTGCCTTGGAGTCTCAGCTCGGGCTTCGGCTCGAGCTGAGTTTTTTCCTCCTTGTCCCCGGACTTGGAGTACAGCTAGGGCCGAAGGCCCGAGTTGAGTTTGTTCGGGCTTCGGCCCTCCAGATTCCATGGTGTTTTGCCTTGGAGTCTCAGCTCGGGCTTCGGCTCGAGGTGAGTTTTTTCCTCCTCGTCCCCGGACTTGGAGTACAGCTCGGGCCGAAGGCCCGAGTTGAGTTTGTTCGGGCTTCGGCCCTCCAGATTCCATGGTGTTTTGCCTTGGAGTCTCAGCTCGGGCTTCGGCTCGAGCTGAGTTTTTTCCTTCTTGTCCCCGGACTTGGAGTACAGCTCGGGCCGAAGGCCCGAGTTAAGTTGTTCGGGCTTCGGCCCTTCAGACTCCATGGTGTTCGCCTTGGAGTCTCAGCTCGGGCTTCGGCTCGAGCTGAGTTTTTTCCTCCTTGTCCCCGGACTTGGAGTACAGCTCGGGCCGAAGGCCCGAGTTAAGTTTGTTCGGGCTTCGGCCCTCCAGACTCCATGGTGTTTTGCCTTGGAGTCTCAGCTCGGGCTTCGGCTCGAGCTGAGTTTTTTCCTCCTCGTCCCCGGACTTGGAGTACAGCTCGGGCCAAAGGCCCGAGTTGAGTTTCTTCGGGATTCGTCCCTCCAGACTCCATGGTGTTTTGCCTTGGAGTCTCAGCTCGGGCTTCGGCTCGAGCTGAGTTTTTTCCTCCTCGTCCCCGAACTTGGAGTATAGCTCGGGCCGAAGGCCCGAGTTGAGTTTTGTCGGGCTTCGGCCCTAGAGACTCCTTGGCTTTCAGCCTTGGAGTTCTCAGCTCTGGCTTCGGCCTCAGCTTTGCTTTGAGTTTGATGCCCGAAAGATGGTGAGAATAGGGAACGTAAGCTGGGTTTAGACCGCCGTGAGAAAATTATCGAATAATGATGATAGACTTATTTGATCATGTATGATATATATTTGATCTGAGTTCGATAATATATTTGGGGCTTCGGCCCTCAAATATCGGATAGTGATGATTGGCTTGTATTGAATCATTTATGATATATATTTAAGCTGAATCCGATAAAAATTTTTTTCAATTTTTGCCTGTGAAGCCCTAATGGGTGGAGGTAGGGACGCGAGTTCTCATTGATCTTCCGCGGACGTCCACGTCGTGCGTGCTGGGAAATCCGGATTGCTTAAATGTGCTCACTGGATTTGCTAACATGCGGTTAAAAATGAGACCCTAGCTCGGGCTTCGGCTCGAGCTTTGCTAAAGGGCTTCGGCCTTCATTACTCCATGGTGTTTTGCCTTGGAGTCTCAGCTCGGGCTTCGGCTCGAGCTGAGTTTTTTCCTCCTTGTCCCCGGACTTGGAGTACAGCTCGGGCCGAAGGCCCGAGTTAAGTTGTTCGGGCAGAAGAGTTTTTTCCTCCTTGTCCCCGGACTTGGAGTATAGCTCGGGCCAAAGGCCCGAGTCTCCCCCAAACAAACTCCTCGGTGTTCAACAGTTGGTCATGGAGGAGTTTCGGCTCGAGCTTCGGCTCCTCGGTGTTCAACAGTTGGTCATGGGGGATCGTTCCTTTAATTTTTGTAAGCTTTTGCAGGCGGCGGACTGGCTGTAGATAAAAGTTGCGCGAGAGGTGAAACTCGTGAACCGTGGCTATTTACAGTTGGTCATGGGCCACGGCCTGACAAAAAATATTAAATAAAATTAATGCCTACAAGACAAGAAAAAAAGCGTAAAATAAATCGCGATCGCTATTCGGCGAACGCTAACCCAAACAGCTCTCTTCAGAGCTCTGACCAGTCTGTCCAACCAGAGCAGACTGTTCCGAATATCGATCTGGGAACCCAAAACTGTCCTCTTCAGGACAATGATCAGTCTGTGCAGCAGGAGCAGTCTGAGCATTATACACATCCGCACATCCAAAATAATTCGATGGATGTTGAACAAATAATGGACAACGAATTAAGCCCTGGGAAGCCTTCGAGCTCGGGCAGATTTACATTTAGTGAAAAAGATATTATTGATAATGCTAATATTGAAAGTCTTGTGGAACCGCTCACTCCTTTGAGCATCTCTTCGGAGGTTTGCGTTCCAAGAAAATCACGGAAAACACACGACTCATCTATTGAGGCTATGGAAACACAAAGTGTGACCTCAACAATAAGGTCTGCTTCTGTATTTTCATGCTCATCTAATGAAAGTCAATCGTCTAAGAGACGCGGAAGGCCTAAAAAGGACACTCGCAAGGGTGTTGGTGGACGACCAAGAAAAACAGTCACGCCAGATATTGAACAAAATATAACGAATGAAATAACTGAACAAGTCTTACCAAGTAACGAAGAATCTAATATTGATTTTTCTACGCTGGGTACACTTGACTTTGCAGTTACGAGGACTACTGATGGAACTTCCATTTGCCGCAGAGCAGTTATGCCTCTTTATGAAAGAGATGATGATAATACGGGCCCGCGCGCCATTGAAGTACTATGGAACAAACTCTCTGAGTGGCCAAATGAAAGTTTCATCTTTGCATATTTATGCTATCTAGCCAAAGTTTCTGGCAAAAAGGTGATTGTAGTAGATCCGCTTGTAACGGATCCACTTCATTTTCAATTAGAGGATATTAATTACGCCAATTATGCCTACCAAACTGGTCCAGACAGAGATGTACAAATTGTACTTCTTCCTGTTCACATGCCAGGACACTGGACCATCATTATCTTTGACAGTAAGTTCGGAACTTATTTTTTCGACTCACTGCCAAACGATCCTCATAGACTATCTGACAATCACCCTGACTATCACCCTGATAGATTGCCTAAACTTATGGATATTCTTTCTCAATTGACCAACAGACGCTCGGATTTAATACATTTGGGAACATATGCCAATGACAAATACACACTTCAACGTGACGGTCATAGTTGCGGATATTTTATCTGCCTATATGCCGAAGCGTGGTTATTTAATAACCGTAATCTTAAATTAAATAATTTTAATATAAACACTGAAAAGAAAAGAATTCTATGGCATTTGAACCAATTGTATTCCGGAGATGATGTTGAGTATCACCCGAGAAACGAACACGACCAAGCTAATATACGCCGATCAAGCCCAATTCATAACTTGCCAACTACAAGTCTTTCAACTCCTAGAATGCAAACGAGAGCTTCTACGCGAGCCTCTTCAACTAATTTAACGCCAGGATTGTCTAATATTGCAATTGCTACTCCGAAAGGAGAACGAGTTTTTCTTCCTATTTCACAACGTTGCCGGGCAAAGCATAAAGGGATTGGCTGTGCCTCCTTTAAGTCAGGTCATCTCCCAGAATATTACAATTCTGGTCAGTTCGGAGATAAAACTTGTGTGCATTGTGATAATAGACTTCTTCGGTCGGAAAAATGTTTATCTTGTACGGATGGTCGAGTTCGACTTGATCCGCTTAAAGCATATCCACATGACTATGCAAGACTTGTAACTGGTGAATCAATGGACTCTAAAGAATACATCAGAGACCAATCGAAATATAACACTTTGTTTGCTTTCGGGTCACTTTCAGTAGGTCGACAAAATGCACCAACTGGTGGACCAATGCCTGTCTTACTGAATGGTGAATTCGCTAGACGGATTGGGAGTTTGACCGCAGCCGATCACCAGATTCCATCTTTTGATCAGTTGTACATACTGGATTCTAACGACGCTACAGAATATCGAATGAATAATACAAGCTTTGATGATTGGAATAAAAAGAATCCTCATTTGTTCCACGTTCTTGATGAATTAATTCGTGCCTATCATCCGATGGCCGAAATTCTTAAAAACTCTTATGAGTTTTACAAGGACATTGCAGAAAATTCACCAGAAAACCTTCAAAACTTTAAGGTTATTTTGGTTGAAGATAAAAATGCGCCTGCTGCAATTCAAGATCCGAATTTACATCCACGCCAAGTTAACTTGCCTACACATGATGAGTCCACTGTTTTTGCGATCTGGTCTTCCAATACTGATGAGCCTCCGCCGCTCAGAGGTATTTGGATTACCAAGAAAGGAAATGTTACAGATTTATGGTCAAATCATCCTATGACTGATTCAATACTCTACCCTTGCATGTTTTTGCTTGGGGACGAGGGTTATTCAACAGAAATACCATATATTAAGATAGCTAAAAAGCCTAATAATGCTAAAGACGACTTTGATACCGACAAATCGGAAACCGGTTCCATTGCTGAAAGCGATTGTGGTTCTGTTGATATTTATGGTGACGAACCCAGCCGTTCTCGCCCCAATCTTTCATTTAGAGCTTTTTATCGTTATCGCTTTGGAATTCGGTACCCGGAAAATGAACATTATCATCATATTTGGAGTACTGGTGGCGGATTGGGACAAAAATTTGCTCTTGATATTGCTGCTAGAATTGATTCGCAAGTATTTGAATACTTACGTCAGCCAGATATGGATTTAAGATGTGAAGTTGTGCCTGAACTTTTAGACTATTTTGCTAAGCATGCTGGCAAATCCTCCGCAGACAAAGTAGGACATGTAGTTCTCTTTAGAAGTTATATGCCTGGCTTCAGGGCATACTTTAAGAAAAATTATAAATCTGCGTGCACGATTATTAATCGTAAACGCAAGCGAGGATGCGCCATGTTTATGTTCACGTTCACTTCGAATCCAAACTGGCCTGAAATGCAAAATGAACTTTACCCCAACGGTCAAGCATTGATTGATCGTCCTGACATTGTCATGCGTTTTTACGCAGATAAAGTTAGAGAGGTACACAAGGACTTGATTGATAGGAAAATATTTGGGAAACAGTTAGGGTATGCAGAAAGTATGGAGTTCCAAAAAAGGGGTGGTCCTCACTTTCATAGAGTGATGGCTACTGATATTCCTGCTATACCGGAGATTATTGAAGGTTACATTCTTGCCCATATTCCGCCACTGCCAGATAAGGATGATAAAAGCCCACGAGCCGAAGGTGAAAGACGCCTTCGAGATCTTGTAATTAAACATCAGCTGCATGATTGCAAGCCTGAGTTTTGCGGGAAAAGAAATAAAAATGGGAAATGCTCTAAGTTTTTCCCTTATGACTATTCGAACAAAACTATACTCTATGACGACCAGCCAGCCGTCCATTATCGACCAAGTCCCGAGGATGGGGGTGAGAAGGTATTGATACCGAAGGGTGGAGTGCTCACTGAGTATACCAATGCTCATGTGACGCCATACAATCCGTTTATCCTACTAAAATATAAAACACACCATAATGTAGCATATTGCTACGGTGAAAAAACAAATATGAAATATACTATGAAGTACCCATTAAAGGGTCCCACCTTTCAATACATCCAAGTCCAAGGTGACATGGTCGATATTGACGAGCCTGCGCATTATGCTCAGATGTACTATCGCTCTGCTAATGAAGCATATGCAAGAATCCATTCAATGCCTTACGTACGACTTTCCAACACAGTTTACGAAATGGAAATACACTTGCCAGGCCATCAAAAGGTGGTTTTTAAGCAAAGTCAAGCTGCAGCAGTTGCTGCTGGACTGCCAAAAAACTTACCTAAAACCATGCTCACAGAGTACTGGTCTCAATGGAGAGAAGGAAAGTCGTGGCAATTCATTAATAAAAAATGGAGACTTGAAGATGATGCTTCAATAACGACTACGTTATACGAACACATGCCAGAAAATTATTGGTTTGATAAGGACGGAAAAATGTGGAAAAAAAGAATTCGAAAAATGGATGTAATAGGACTGATTCATCCTAGACCATCTCCTCGGGATCAAGAGAGGTTTGCTCTCTACATACTTCTCCGCCATTTTCCTGGCGATCCCGAGGCATTAAAGGACGTTAACGGAGTAATGTGCAATTCTTTTGTTGAGTCTGCCAGATTGAGAGGTCTGCTTTCTGACGATTCTGTATGGGAAAGGACTTTGGAGGAGGCCTCGCATTTCAGCACAGCCAGTGCAATGCGATACCTGTTTGTACAGGTTTTGGTCTTTGGAAATCCGAGCAATGCTCGCGAATTATGGGAAAGATTTGTGGATCACATGTTCAAGCCAATAGTAGGCAATGATCCAAATGGGATTGAAAGAAACAGACGTATTGATCGGGTATTGGCCATCATAGAAGCACAACTCTCGGACTATGGAATGACAAACCAACAATTTGGACTGGATTCTCCATCCCCCGGGATGCGACAAGACGTAGATGAAGCACTGGATAACTTCTTCTTTGGAGACAAAGATGAAGATGACTTTGCAAGCGGTAACAAGCCCACGATAAAGTTAAATGACGACCAAGAAAATGTTTGGACAGCCGTTCAAAATGCCATCAACGGAACTTCATCCAACACTATCTTTGTGACAGGAGATGGTGGAACAGGAAAGACATATCTATTTAACGCTGTAATTTCACGACTAAGAGACATGCGCATCCGTGTAATTGCTTCGGCTTATACAGGCTGCGCAGCGACACTTTTGACTGGTGGTGCTACCGTTCATTCGGTATTTAGGTTTGGAATAAACATTGATGAAAATTACACCCCATCAGTGTCAATGCAAAGCTATCACGGAAGGCGAATCAGAGACAGCCAAGTTATAATTATAGATGAAGTTTCTATGCTTCCTAAGCATATGTTGGAGGCAATTGATCGGGTCTGCAAACAAATGTGCCCACCAGACAAGAAACATATTCCATTCGGCGGAAAGGTTATGATTCTCAGCGGAGACTTCAAGCAATCACTTCCTGTGGTTACTGGAGGTGGTATGCGAGATCAAGTCAATGCCTGTTTACAGTCTTCATTACAATTGTGGCCGCATTTCAGAAATAATATAATAAAGCTGAACATTAATATGCGTCAGGGACAGAATGAAATTCAATTCACTGATTGGCTGCGAAAAATTGGAAACGGCGAATTAAATAAGGAAGTGGAGATAGAAAGTAGAAATATTGTGGGTTCGCGCCAAGAGTTGATGAATTTTGTCACTGACAACGGCCAAGCTCTTTCGAATCCGAAAGAGCTCATTAACAGACTGATCTTAGCGCCACATAATGACACAGTGGATGTGATTAATGAAGACATGCTGAAAAAGATTACGACCAAGGAAAAGATTTATTTGTCAACGGACGAATCGAACGTTGACGAATCGCCAATGGATATTGATGAATGCGAGAACGATATTGAAGCTTTGAATTTACTAAATCCTGCTTCAATACCACCACACCGGTTACACCTTAAAGAAGGTTGCATTGTAATTCTTTTAAAGAATTTGGCAGTTACTAGAGGGCTTGTCAATGGGACAAGAATGATTGTAAAGGAATTAGGAGATAATATTTTGAAGGTTGAGGTTGTAACCGGTTCTGTGGCTGGATCCGGCAATATTATATGCCTTTCACGTGTATGGTGTGATTATGAAGACAAAGAACCAGATGGAGTTAAGTTCAGACGGTTGCAGTTTCCAGTTCGTCTTGCATACGCAATGACGATCATGAAGGCCCAAGGCCAGACTGCAACACGAGTCGGACTCGACCTTACACATCAAGTGTTTGGTCATGGAAATCTTTATACAGCTCTTTCGAGAGTTCGGACCGCTGATTCTTTCAAAGTCTTTGCACCACACGTCACTGAAAAGGAAAAGACAAAGAATAAAATGATAAAGAATGTTGTCGCCGATGGCTTAGAATTCTTCTAATGCCTTAATGAATTACACACGGACATGCTCACACAACGCTATGACACTGGCCTGGACATTTATGTCCTGAGCCTTCGCCAATTTATGCTTTACAAACGCCTATGGCGTTTAGTTATTCTTCTTAGCCTCTAAGACGCCTCTGGCGTATGTTACTTGATCTCTAGCCTCTCGGTCGCCGATGGCGGTACGAATACTTGTAAATAATGTAAATATTGTAAAAAAATAAAAATACAAAAAAATTTATAAAAATAAAAAGCCTAAAAATGTAAAAATTATTAAAAACACAAAAAAATTTCTTATGCCAAAAAATAAAAAAATAAAAAAATTTCTTAAGAGACAAAATTTCAAAAATAAAATGAAAAATTTAAAAAAATTTCGTATTTTAAAAAATTAAAAAATAAAAAAAATTCTTACGACCATGGTGTACAGGTCTTCCACACCTGACAGGCCTCCCCGTGGCCGTACACCGGTAACTCCTGCTACTAAGGCTGTTGTGAGCCATGCAGTTGAGGCTAACCACAAAGATCACAACATCTTTATGGAGTCAAAGTGGTTTGCTAAATTTATCGTTATTTCGAAAAATTGTTTTTTGCTTTAATGTTTGGCCGGAAAATGGTGAAAACTTCATAGAACATAACGCTATCCTTTTAGCCAGTTTTAAAGTCATATTCTTAAGTTCTATCAGAGATATATATATCAGAGTTTTCTATCAGAGTAAAGGAACTTTTATAGAGCTCTAAACGAGTCAATGTACATCTCCCAGCAAAAAGAGAGATGTACATTGAGAGAGCTCTAAACGAGTCTAAATTTTATATCCAAGAAAAAACAAATCTAGCGTCCTTTTAAAGCCGCAGGCTTTCCACGCGCGTCCCTGGACGCGCCGCCAAAAAGGCTTCTATAAAAACAACGTAACCAAACGCTCCCCCCAGCGTAACCAAACCCAAAAGCTACACGCCCATTCAGCTACTCACCCTGCAGCTAGTTTATAAAAATAATTTTACTGATTAAATTCCTCTATTCCACAATGGCCAACCAGAATTATCTCGAGTTTTATCCAATTCCTGAGTATCTTATAGTACGTGGGAAGCGTTCAAAAGATACATTAAACTCCTAAAAAATATTTCCTTTAAAGATTCTAAGTTATCAACAATTTGGACATTATGCCCCTCATTTTGACCACTTGGAACCCATGCCGGTAGAATACGATGATGGCTGGTTTGCCTACTTTGGAAATAGATTAGCTACAGCTCTGCTAATTGTAAAGACTGCAAAAGGAAGTTTCACAACATTTCCAAATTTAAATTTAACTGTTGGGCCGGAAAGGGGTACTGTAATGAATTTATAATAGGAAGGTGCAGTTGAGTGTCAGCTGCATTTGATTGGCTATAACATTTTCATGCTTGATCCACCCCTGATGATTTTTATATCGTTCGAAAGCCCTCGATAATCGGTATATTTTTTCTAATTAAATAGATCAATTCTGATCACCAATTAAAAAGTTATAGCTCGATAAGCACAATTATTTGGTGTTTTTAAAATTTAACGGGCTAAAACTCTTTAACTAGTTACTTTTGATCCATCGACTTGGAAAAATGATACCGCTTATCAATGCCTTTCAAATAATGCATCCGTATTGTATCAGGCATCAAACTACTCAAAGTCGGCTGGCTCTCTACCGACCGCTTTCAATTGACTCCAACTTAAAATTAAATTTAAAAAATTCAACATTTAAGGAGATCTATTGTTATGGCTAAATTCCAATTCTAACGGAAAGAGGGAACAAAATGCTCTACATGCAGCATGCCCTATTATTGAAGGTAGAAAAATCGCTGTATCCCTGTGGATTCGAAGCAATTTTCAGGCAAGAAAAATAAACTAAAGTCAAACTTTCCGACAAGGTTACGTCTTACCATGAAGGGGGTTATAAAACTAACTGCTAACAGAACTGAAACCTGACGAGACTGTTATAGAAGGCATAAGATTAGAGGGTCATATAGACTCTTTTACAAGAATAATACAAAAAATCTTTACTATTGGAGTAACGGTATAACTAAAAAGCAAGATATAATAGTAACTAAAAATATAAAATTTCATATGTTGTACATATAAATAGCGATAAGTGAAATATAAGTAGAACAAATAACAGTTTTGTCTTAAAAATTATCCAAGCACTAGTCTAGTTTATGCGTTCAATGAAAATTTGCGAGTAACCGGAAACCTTTTACTTTGTAAAATTTTTTCCGGAAAAGTCTCATTCCCGAAATATATTTTTCTAAATTACAGAATGCACTTAAATGTTCTCTAAAACATCCAAGTTATGAACCAGAAGATTTGATTAGAAGACTTCCCTATATTTATGAAGGACCAGAAGAAAGGCCAAATATACCTAGTTGGGTATTTAAATAACACTTTTGGATTGTTGTTTGAATTAAATGTTTTTAAAAATATTAATTTTTGCTGCTCTCTAATTATCGGCCTCCACATTTTATTAGAAAATGCCCCCAGTTTCGGCCCTCCATTTCTAATTACCCCCTTTCTTTCTCCTTCCTCCAAAAATGTACACATGGGTCAATGTAACATACAGGTATAAGATTAAATTAATAAATGCAAGCCGTCCGATATTGGGCAAGCCGTCCGGTATTGGGGGTATAATTTTGGGTCAGTGGGGGGTCAGCAGTTTATTCCAGAAAATAGCCAGGTTGAGAAAAAAAGTCGAGTTGAAAAAATACCGTATTTCGGTTAACCCAACGATCTCCAAAAATGCCCCTCACAGTCCCTTTGTTTGTTCCGATAGATTTTATGTGAAATAGAAATAATGGTACCCTCCTCCCTAGTCAAATTTTTGATGTAGAAAATGGTCAATTATTCCGTTCTTGAATAACTTCACAAAATTACCCCTTTCTTCCTTTCAAACGTTGGTACAACTCTCATAACTTCTTTGGAAAAATGAAGGAGAAAATGAAAAGAAAATTAGAATGTGGGGCGGCAATAAGAGAGTACCTATTTTTTAAATTTTACCAATTTCTGGGCAACAAAGGCTTGTTGTTGCATCACCTCCAATATGGCAATAATAATTTGCTGGGCAAATTTTTGACTGTTCTGACGAGCAATAACCGACATTTCCTTGACTATCTCTTAAAGGGACGCCTACAGCACAGGGATTCGCTGAAAATTTTATTTGGATATTTATTAGGAAAGTAATCAAAATTAGAGACCAGACTGGGATTGTCGTACGAGAATCGAGATCAACATATCGAAAAAAAATCCCGTGTCTCGAAAAATGTCTCAGTTTTTGAATGTCCCGATTCACGAGGTCTCGAGTCTCGAAAAAAGTCTCGAGTCTCAAAAAATCTGTCTCGTTTCTTTGAGATTTCCTCGCTTGAGATCTCTTCACGGTCCAATCTCTAATCGTAAATTGCCTTGACAAATTTGTTCACAATCCATCCTTGACAAAAAATTGTTCTCATTTCCTTTAAGTCCCCGGTACGTGAATGTTTGGCATTGGCCTGCTGGTGCATAAAAATACCAACGCTGTAGTGTTGAGCTTCCGGTGCCGGAACTCAAAGGCTGCTGGCAAACGTTGACTTCCGCTAAAAATAAAAAGTTGTGTGGGAAATGTTTTGATATTTATTTTTTTGGAAGAGTTTCTAGCAAATAGAATTTCGGGGAAGAAATTATTTTTACTAAATTTACAGAAGGAAATTGTCTAAATTAATTATAGTCTAAATTCTATTTTAATTATTTCCCTTTTGACAATTTTGAGAGTTAATGTCTTAATAGAGATATTGTTTATCCAATCATTTTAGACATTTCGTAACTAACTAAAAAAAGGAGTTTATCAAAAATTGTTTTATTTATTTTTTAAATTTATATTTTTTTTTACACAATATAATATTTGATGTTTGCCCATACTAATAAGTTTCACTTAAGTTATAAATAAATACAAAAGTCAAACCATAAACATCATATTTTTGTAAGAGGGTTTTTTAAACCCTCTAATTTTTTGTCTCGTAACTGATTGTAATCCGGCTCCCACGATGTCGACATTAGTCCAAAAAAGCATTAAAATTGATAATCTACGACGCATAAAACGTACAAACTAATTTGATTTAAACTTAACTAATGATCAACTGAAAAATCAGTTTATTTTGTCAAAATTGGAGGATATCGTAGGTTTAGTGGGTATATCATAAGATTAGTGGGGAAAATAATATAGAAAACACGGACAACCTAAAAAATTCAAACTGAAGAAGAAAGCGAGAAATGATGGTAACAGGAAAATAAATGAAATAGGCATGAAAGACTATTGAAGTAATTTAATAGTGTAAATTTGATGACAAATATGAAATTTTGACCAAGGTTAAGCAATGAAAATAATTAGTGTGTAAAA